AGANGAAGAGAGAGAGAGAGAGAGAGAGGGAATGGAAGGAGGAAAGGGGGTGGTAACGGCGACCATCGGGGACGAAGCAACCCTCTGCAAGGGATATCTCTTTCTCTCTGCCTCTCTATCCTTCCTTCGTCTCTGATATATTGCCTCACCCGCAACCCTCACGCGCCCTAAACCATCCCTTCTAGCCGCCATCTTGAAGGACTCCCTTCAACCCCCGCACCCTACATCCCTGCAGACCCACCATCGAACCGCGGCCTGCACTCACCCGCCCACGATCGAAAATCCCGTTAGACTTATACGGGCTTAGCCCGTCCATTTTGACGAGGGGGTACGTGCCAACCCTGCTACGAGCCAGCCACCCTCTTCCCTTGCGGAATTCCACGGGGGTTTTTTTCCGTCTCAACACACCCGCGACGCTTCTCCAAATGCCTGGAGGACGTGCCTGGTGACCCTTCTTCCTTCTTCTTATCGTCGAGGCTTTTTCTTTTTTTTTTTTTTTTTTTTATTTGGTTCTTTCGATAGGGTGGAGTTTGGTCTGGAGATCGGTTTGTCTCAACATTTTGATTCGTTGTTGTAATTATCGAGCAGGATGTGGATTTCGTTCGACTTCGTGAGAACGAATGTAGAAGAATTTTGGTAGAATTTTTGTGTGATAGGTTTTTGAGAAAATGGATATTAAATTGGATTGGATAAATAAATGATGAATATGATATTGGACAATGATTTATTTTGGTATTCTTGAAGTATATGAATCGTATACTTTCTCATCGATTTTTTCATCGTGAAAGAAATCTAATTATTTTTCATCGATAAAATTTATGCGTCGAGGGATTGAGCAATGTGATCTTTAATAAAGATGTAGAGGGAACTTGATTATTTGCGTTTGCTTTGTACAGAGAATTTAAATAACTTTTAACGTACGCAGCTTTTTACATCAAAGAACTTTGCTCCTCTATTTCCCTTCATTCTTATATTTCTTTTAATTATACGTGCCACAAGTAAACTCTGCATATCAATATATAGTTACAAACTTCAAAGGAACATAAAACTTGACGTACTTGATAGAGAATTACCGAGAAACACGTTCAAACAATCTCTAATAACGAGATTATAATTTATCTCTTACCCACAACACGTACGAATGTATCGAAATAAATAAATGCCAAAAATTTTCCAATTTTCACACACGTTACATCATCACCACCCAATTTAATATAACACAATCCAAAGAATTTCGATCGAGATACACCAAGATTTCACACCGTCCCTCGCACAAGACATCATTCTTCGTTACCTCCCCCCTGCAACAAAATAAAATCCCAGGCCCCCTCGAATGAAAAATTTCGCCCAGTCAATTCTCCATCACCCTTCGATCGTCCACCCCTTCGCGTTGAATTTTCGCGGGACTAGCAGTCGCGAAACGAGTAGGTGTTTCCGGTTTATTCCCGGAATTCCGCGAGGGGTTCGCCCCAAGGACTTTGGCGAGGGGTGGCCTTGTGACCGGGCGAGGCGAGGGGAGTGCATTTTTCGGAGTGCTCGCGTGCCCGCGGGATCCCCCTTCCTCGACGCAACGCCGACAGGGTACTTCGCATTCTGCTACATCATCGCGGGATTTGATTATGCAAAGCGGCAGCCCCCTCAGGCCGTTTGCACTCTCCTCTTCTTCTCTCTCTCTCTTTCTCTCTCTCTCTCTACCTCGTCTTCGATCGAGCCTCTTTCTCTTCCTGGACACGTAGGCGGCCCATCGAGCTCGCTGACTTTTCGTCGAAAGCCTCACCTGCGGATTTTTATCGGGATTATTCCCGCTCGTTTACGAAAATTGAATGTGGTCGCCGTTTAGCGTCGAGATGTTTTTCGTATTGCGCCTCTTCTTGTCTTTCTATTTTTTTAATTTCTCACGAGGATGGTGGAAACTGGTGGTTAAAAGTGGTGATTTCTCTTCCTGGATACGTAGGCGGCTCACTTTTCGTCGAAAGCCTCATCTGCGGATTATTCCCGCTCGTTCACGAAAATTGAAAGTGGTCGCCGATTAGCGTCGAGATGTTTTTCATGTTCTTTTTGTGTCTCTTGTTGTCGTTTTATTTTTTTAATTGAGAAGGATAAACGAGATGGAAGCTGGTGATTCGCTTATAGTTGAGTTTACTTTACTCGCAAACAATTGTCAATATTAAATACTATTAAGTATTATTGATAGATCGGGAAAAAATTAAGCGTTGGATAAAAATCGATGAAAACAGATGCGCTCAATCGGTGGGGAGGGAAAGAAAGAAACGTTACGTTTTATGAATGAAAACGGTTCCCTTTCACTTGCCTAGAAACTTTCGCCGCGAAATCCGGAATAACGAGACGATAAGCGTTCGCCGTGAGCACGGGAACACTTTATCGGCGCAAGTTTTCTTCGCCGACATAAATCTTCTCGTCGAGCTTGCGCTCCCTGAAACGAGCCACTGAACAATGCCAAGCCATCGTTTCATTTAGCTGTAACGAGCAACTTCTCGAGCCAACGAAACGCGAACCCTCTGCTAAGATCTACGTTCTTCTCTTTTTCTTGGCACCCGAAGTAGGTTAAAAGAAAATTGTGGAAGGCGTTGTAAATATGATTCGATCCTAAAAAAAAAAAAAATTTAAATTAATTCAGGAATTCTACAAAAATTTTATGAATTCGTCCTCAAAATTTCATTACACATGAATCATGAATCGCTAATCGAAAACCTTTTCGTCTAAATGTTGATACGTATTTTGATGAAGAATGTACGATTCACCAAAAAGCAGATATCACGTTTTTATTTATTTTCTTACTTGTACGCGATACTTTAATTCGATAAATATTTTGATATCCTAAAATTCTTTGGTATCGAATGATGGATGAAATTATATGGATGAAAAAACAGTGAAGAGGAAAAATAGAGAAAGTGAGAAGAAGAGAATAAAAGGATAATGAAGAAGAGGAGAAATTGATAAAGAAACGGAGCATAATATTGATAGATCAAAGGAGAAACAGGGAATCGATGGAAAAAAGGAAAAGGACAAAGAAGGTAAAAAATTGAAAAAAAATAAAGGAATAGAAAGAATTATTATTAATTAATCGAAGAGGATATTAAAATTGCGTCTCCAAAAATTCCTGATCGAGCAAAAACAATCTCGATTCCTCATAATAAAATAAACCTAAACCAAGCACATATTATTACAATTTCTTCTCTTTCCTTTCACCTTCTCAATTATCATATTCCAATCTCAAAGCGTTACTTCCCCAATCCCACCCTCCTTCCACCATCCACGACGAAACCAATATCAACAAAATGCAAATAAGGTAACCACCATCCTACCTTCCAATTCCACCTAATCGCAGGACACGGATCGAGGCTCACCCTCCCCGACCAGACCGAATCGGACGCGAGTTATCGGTGTGGGTGGCGATAATCGTCGGAGTATCGGCGATGTTCCGTCTTTCCGCAACATAAAATCGATCTGCAGGAAGGCAGCCGGTAAGCCTGGGGCTTAGGTACCTACCTACTACCGTCGCCCACGGATTTGAATACTGTCGATTCTCAATTGTTGCGGATCACGCGCAGCCCGAAAACGCTCCACTCTGAACGGATCGAATGAAGAAAGAAAGAAAGAAAGAATAAAGAAAGGAAGGAAGGAAGAAAAAGAGAAGAGGAAGAAAAGAGGAGGAAAAATAGAAAAGGGAAAACGGTTGAAGGGAAGGAAGGAGAGAGAGAGGGAAAAAAATGTATATAATTTGGGTCCCGGGGATGGCAGCTGCGTGGGTCCCGATATGCAAAAAAGGGGTTGCCGCACGGAATTAGAATATCCTCGCGGTCTCATTTGAATTTCAATCTACGCCGCGCGGACAGTTTTCCTCTCGTTGCTTTTACCCCCGGGGGCCGCTGTTACCTATGTATCTGCCTCTTGCGTCACGGATACTCAGGTATCGGCCCAAGTTCGGTTGGTAGCCGAACACGGTGGAACACGGCCAAGGGTGGAGGAAAAGAGAGGGGGAAAAAAAAAGGAGAGCGCGGTTCCCCATTAAAAATACTGCTGCGCCTACCTGGCGAACAAGGAGAACGAAGAGAGAGAGAGGGAGGGAGAAAAAGGATCGTGAAAACGTGGCGCACCTCATTAGAGCCGCGTTCAACGCGTTAAATCCAACGCGCCGGGGGTAAGTTCTTCGTCCCTGTCGCCGTTACGAACTCTATCGGGGATTCGAAAAGGTGTCGATGAATAATGCGATGGTGTCCGCTGAATTACGGATCGGGCTACGCGCGCCGATTGGACGATGGAATTTTGTTCGAAGGGTTCGATTTGGAGATTCTTATCCGAGGATATATTTTTTTCAATTGAATTATTATACGGATCGGGCCTAAATTTGCGTGATTTTATTTTCATTCGTGTACAATGATTTCGATCTATCAGAAATTTTATATTACTGTAAATATTATTATTCGGATTACAACAATGTGTTGGAAACTGATTGATGTTATTTCGCGATTATTTCGTTTCGTTGAGTATGAATATTGATATTGATGAAAATAATAGGAATGAATGAGAATGGTGGTTGGTTAAAAAAATTAGTTATTTAGTAGTAATTTATTTATACACGATAATTCTGACGATATCATATCGAAGATGACAGAGATTTTTTTATTTCGAAACGTATTAAGATTGGAATCGTGTAAATAGGTGTTGAGAACGTGTAATTTCGTTTGATTAAAGTTCGTGGATCTTTGTGGCGAGCGCATCGTGCACCAAAATGAAATTCTGCAGTATATTCTGTAGTATATCGTTAGAAATATGCCTTTGATCATCGACGCGGAAGATGAAATTTCTCTCGCTATCGTGTACTAAGAATTCTTGAACCATAGTAGTGTAATATTCTGCGATAAGTTTGCTTATTAATTAACAGATTTAAATTTCTACAATTTTCTGAAAATTCTCTTTATTCGATGTCTTGCTTAACAGATTTCAAAGTTTATTATAATTTTTATATCGAAACTTTCTTCCTTGTTGTAAAATCAACCAGATTCTCAATCTATATTCTTACAAATTTTATAATGAATATTTTTATTTCTAAATCACGCATTGTATATATATATATACACACATCTAATCCAATTCCTTGGATTCCTTCTTCGTTAAAAAGGAATTAATCAATCCTATCGAAACGACGAACTCGATCTAATTACTAAACTAATATTTTATCCTTCTTATTTAAAACATTCAACATTCGTACAATTTTTAAAAAATTTTTCTTCAAAACAACAAAAAAAAAAACAAAACGAAATAAAATAAAGAAGAAGAAGAAAAAACCAATTTTACACGCGTGTAAGAATGTTACGTGGCAACCGAGGAGGCCGGTACTCGGCATCATGGCGTCGAAACTTCACCCCTAGATGCGGCCTAGACTGCACAACTTGCATCATCGATACATTCCATTATCCGTATCGCGTGTCGTGCACGCGCAAACACGCGGAGATAGACGAACCGAGCACACGGTGAGCGAAAATAGGAGAGGATGGGACGAAAGAGGATGGAAGAAGGGAGGTGGGTGGAAGAGGGATAAGATGGAAGGCCATAGCCGGAGGTCTTTCCCTCTGTGCGGAGGCCGCTCTTATACGCTTTCCGGAGGGTACAGTCCGCGCAAAATCGACGTCCATCACCCCCTTTATTTGAAAACCACCCCTATTTTCGACGATAAAGCGGCCGGAACGAAGGGGCAGTTCCGTCTGCCCGAGGAACACCCTCGGTCTCGCCGATAAAGCGGGAGACTTCGATTGGTCGAGGGGGTGGGGAGATGGGGGATAAATACAGGCATGTGTGCCTTGGGGGAGCCGAGGAGGGAGACTTTTTATCGCGATTCCTAGCACATCTCAGGAATTTTCTTAGGGAAATATATTACTTTTGCTTAAGCTCGGCTTTTATTTAACTCTGTTTAAAGGCTGGAATTTATTACTGAATGAAACTTAATCTCATACTTTTGTATCATATTTTTGATAGAAAAATATTTGTCCAATTTAACAAAGAAAAAAAAAGAAAAAATCAAACCGTAACACAACTACCCCTATCTATCAAAAATAACAATTCCAAAATATATATCACAAAAGAGTGTAATTGCTCTTAAAGCAAATCTAATTGCACGATTGGAACGACCCACACGCTATCCACCCCCTTTCGTTCGGAATCCCTTTACCTCGGCAATAAAATTCCCGATATCGCGGATTCGCATGGTCCTCGTCCTCGTCGTCGTCGTCGTCGTCGTCGTCTCTCAGCCCATCGAATTCCTTCCTCGAAATTCAGCGGAGCTGGATTCTTGGCGGTAACTGTACGACGTCAGAGAAACGTCGAGTCCGTCAAGTAACTCGCTCGTGATCCCATCCCCCTCGTTCCTCGCGCGCGTACCTCGTGTGTGGACTGTGCGAGTTTACCGTCGACGTCGTCGTCGACGGGGGTACACGTCGACGAGAGCGGGAAACTTTAGACCAACCGGATGCTCGACACGCGATGGGGCGCGGTGGCAACACGCGGCTGCACGCCTGGAAAGTTTTGCCCTCAAACCGCCCCCGCGCCACCCGCCCACCCTTAGCCCCGGGGATTTTGGTTAGAATATTGAATCTTGCAGAGTGGAGGCGCTGTAACGAGCACACCGAGCCGACCCAGCGAACGTCGTATCCTCCAAGACGACGAGCCAACCACCCCCGGGAACGGGGTGCCCGCGTTCTCGAGAACCAAATAATCCGCCAAGCCACCACCAGGTGAAACACGCGAGGCTTGCTTCTGCATCCTCGAGCATTTTGCTTGTTGGAAATTTTAGTTTTTCGTGGAAGGGTTTCGGGAAGTGGGTCGGGGATGATTTATTTATTTATTCGGGGAAAGTTGTTGGGTGATGAACTTGTTGGATGGAAGTTTTGTTCGAGTTTTGTGTTCGAGGAATCGATATTCTCTTCTTTTTTTTTTTTTTTGTAGTTTTTTAGTCGATCGAACGTAAGTGTTGTGGATGGAAAGGGGAATGAATATTAAAATTGGGGGATGATATATCGGGGGAAGTTGCAGTTTTGATTGATATATAATGAGATGTACGATGAGGATGTTCGATATACCAAAGTTGAAGTTTTGATTATTTATTGAAGAGGATTTCAGAGGATTTGGTAGAAGTTTGAAAAATCAATATTTCTTTGTGTAAAGTTAATTACCAAGTATTCGATATTGGAATAAAGAGGGGGAATAATTTTTGTACATTTGTTCGAAAAATTTGATTTAAAAGAGAAGAAAAAAATTTTTTATTTCAGGTGAATCGAGAACATTGTATATTAGGAGAATGCCTCGAGTCGTTTCCATCAAGCTAATTTAATATTTCCCCCTGTTTGAGGGTGAATACCAAGTATAACCGTGACTGTGGTTAAAACAGATTTAGCATGGAGAGAGTTATTTTAGTACGTACAGCTGATTTGTAAGCGTAATACGGAAATTAAATATATTATTAATTATTTTGAAGTGTATTTAAAAATCAATCAGAATGTTATAACTATACGATTGTTGCGTATTTTTCTTATATCCGCGTTCATTGTTCTCCTACGTTTAAAATAATTAAACCAATACTCCATTCTGTTCTTTTTCCCCACAACTGTAATAAAAAATTTAAATTCTTACAATTTCTTTGTGCCTCGAAAAAACTATCCAAGCTACTTCAACTTCATCGAGGCAACCATTGGTAATGAAATCGTAATAAAAATATTCAACTTGAACGTTCGAAAAATAATCACAAACGGGGGGCTCTTTACCGAAATCAAATTTTTTCTGCTCCTTACCGCTAAAAAAAGAACGTTCGTAGAGGTCATGAATTATGCAGCTCGATCTCGAATTACCTTGGATTTCACTCGAGACAAAGTGGAGTTGGCGCGATAAGTAGCTCGACCGAAGTTAGGTCAACGTCGTGTTGGATTCGCGAATAAAAATTCCTACGATTTGGGTTGAACGACGATGAGAAGGGATGAAAAAACAAACGTCGAAGCACGCGTGTGAATGTGTGTCGACGTCATTGTACGAACACGGCCGGAATTTTCTACTGCGTTTTCGTGTCGATGCGGCCGAATACGAAACGCACTTTCCATTCGGCGAACATACAACAACGACATCATATAATTTGTGCAAAAGTCGAACGGAAAAAAGAACAATATATTTATTAGTTAATTTAATAACGATGTAATTTTTTTTTTTGTAAAATTGAACGAAATAAATATGATAATTATAACGCGACAGCAATAATTCTTTACCCATTAAATGTCCCATTCTTCAGAAAGAATTCTCCATTTTTCACTTTACCAAAAACCAATTCCCAAATCCAATTCCAGAACACTCCGATCCCCACAACGTGTTCCGACGTGTATCAATATTTCCACTCACACCACCCCCCTCCAACGAAAAAAGGACCAAGAAGAAGAAGAAGAAGAAGAACGCTAATGCAAGCACAGAAGAAACGCGACTCATCCCGCAATAAATAATTCACGCCTTAATCGTGGCCCGCGATATTTCATCCCCGCCTCGATGAACGTCGAACCCAGCTACCCTACCGATAATTCTCACCTCTCCCCCCTCAACGATACGCGCCAGCCTCCAGTCCACGAGACGAAACGAATTTACTTTTAATTGGCGGACGCGTGACGGTGCCCCGTCCGTGCAAACCTCGTGGTCATCCTCGATGGCCCCAGGCCGGTGATGTACGAGGGTCAGGCCATGTTTCCGCCTGTTTTGACCACCGAGGGGGGTTAGGGCCGGGCAGCACGCCCAGGGTCAACGGATGACCCGTCCAGGCCATCCTGGTCGCGCCCCAAGGCCTCGAGAGGGGCGCCCCTAAGCACGCGCCCATACGTCCTTCGGCCGAAAGGGTCGTTCGAGGGTGCGCACCGGTCAACGAAAAGTCCAAATTAACGGAGTGTCCACTGGGATGGGTGGAAAGAGAAACTGGATCGAGAGGTAGAAAATGTATATATATATATATATGGGTCGCGGTCGAAGGTACGTTTCAACGATCTTGTAGGTTTTCTGTTTCGTAACCGTGTGCCGCATTGTCGTGTGCCATCACCTGCGCATCCTCGAAACTGGATCCCCGGATTTCGACGGATCGGGCAACTGCTTTTTAGGTGTCGGTTGGCCGACACGCGTTCCTCTTGCTTGACCTCGTTTTTTTTTTTCGCCTTATATATTTGTATTCCGTTGATTTTCCTCTCGGACACGTTTCGAGAAAGAAGAAATTAGGTGGATTTTCGAAATTGTGGTTGTAGGATTGTTTTCTTCTAATAATTTTACAATGAAAATATCGGGGTTGAAGCTAAATTTGATAGGTTAGGTTAGTGGTTAAATGTAAAGACTATTTGAATGATTCAGTCAAAAATATTAAGAAATATCAAGTAAGAAAGAAATTAAACCGAATTTCCATCCTCTTTTGTATAGAAAAATTATAAAAACTAAATTATTTCCAATTATAAATATTCAAAAATTATTAACAAAAATGTAATTTAACAATATATATATCGATTTATTAATCCAATTTGGTAAAATGACAAATTATTGAAATTTTATTTTTATCAAAATGTTTACTTTCATCCATTCCATTCCAATTAATATCGATGTATATATATATATATTTAAATAAATATCACCAAGAGGAATTCGATTAATCATGAAATTCATTAATCACCGTAACCATCAATAGATAATTCAACGTTCCATCGCGGAAATAATTTTAGATCGTCGCAGGAAGCGTCGTTTAATCCAACTGGCACCGATTCTGAAGTGGCGAGCGTCAAAATGTCGTTTCCCTCTCAATCGCTACTTTCCCGAGATCCACCGGCGGCAACAGATGCTTTAATATATGTGCAGAACAGGAAAATTGAATTAAATGACGGATCCAGTTCAACAAAGGGCCGATGTAATCTCACGGCAAGTACGCACGCCACTTTACAGTCTTGTAATGGAACTCCCGGACGAATAAAAGTGGATGCCCTTATTGAAGCGGAGGGCATCGTTCTTCTTTCCTTTGATACTTGTTTTCATGCTGGTAAATCATCGTGAAAAAGCCACTGCTCTCGTGCAGAAAGAGAGAAGCTAGCCTCCATGACTTTATCGTTAATTGCATGCACTTTCTTTTGTGCGCTAAGAAAGAAGTTTGTCACACAATTATGGCTATTACTGCCTCCATTCGAACCTTCACGTATCCCTCATGTCATTTAAAATATTTGTCACGAGTGTTTATATTTTTTTATTCTTCGAATCTTCGTTCGATGATGATTTATGAAGAACACGTTCTTACGTCGAGCTATACGTCGAATTCGAGTATCATATAATTGCGAGTATTACGTAATTAAAATTATACTTTAAGGATATAAGAAAAATAAGGAAATTGGAAAATTAGATTCTTACTTTAAGTAAGAAAATATTTTTCGTATATACCTCTTAACATTATTTAAAAGCATGTATGAAATTTTTCCACGCGGTATATAAATGAAAAAATTAAGCAAAATTACACCGTATAACTTTCCTTCCTGAATTTTCAACGTGAATCTCGTTATTCGAAATCCGCACGATTCTTGATTATATTAATTGCACGTTGCAATAAATGATAATTTTTTTACGTTTCGTTACACGAATATTCCGATTATATTCACATTATCCAAGTTTGAGCAGAGATCAACGTTTTATCGTCTCTATTCTTCGCCACCTCGCTGTTTTGAAGTTTCATAATTACGATTAATCAATCGAATGTCAATTACTTCGAACGTCTCGCTGTATCGAACTGTACAGAAGCGGAAATTTAAATTCATCGTTGTTTCACCTTCGTTTAGAATGGAAATGAAATAATTTAACGTATCAATATTAATCGATTCAAATATTAATCGATTTATAAATATATTACGAAGTGTACACTACACTTGAAACGATTAATTTAATCGTCGAAAAATTGACAGAGAAATTATTGAAAGTAACGATATTTGAAAAATGATTAAGAATCGATCTTTAATCGATCTCGAATTATAAAATCAATTTTTCGTCGCATGAAATAATTTTTTTAAACGAAAGATACAGCGATAAAGTATGATCAAAAGGCAGCTCATTGTTTTTCTCCGTCTTGGTTTTTTCTTCTTTCTTGTCTTTAAAAATTACATAGATACTTCGTCCTTTGAACTTATTCCCATGTCGCCATTAAGAAATGCAATTCAAAAGCAGCAACAAGTATGAAATGAGCTTTTCAAGTTGCAAAGAAAGCTGATCAAAGACTGAATAGCAAAGATCTCAAAGCGGAGGATTCTTTAGACCCTCTTTAACCATCGAATGAGTCGAAAACCATTGAACAGGAAAAGACACAGACATCCTTTGTTTCCTCTTGCTCCATATTCCTTAACCACGTCGGCGAATATTCGTTTGCCCTTAACCACCGTCAAACAATCCTCTCTAATCGCGATCATCTATAAATACTTTATTTGTTGGCGAAACTAATCTTATCGCGCGAAAGATTTTAATGCAAGAATACAAGAAAACTTATTTTGAAATTAAAAAAAAAAAAAAAAAAAAAGAATTATTAATTCATAAATACGAGTTACGAAAGAATCTTACACCTTGCTAAAATTCAAATATCTTCTTCTTCTTCTTCTTCTTCTTCTTCTTCTTCTTCTTCTTCTTCTTCTTTATAAACTCTCTCCTCCTAAGAATTATAATTCCAAAATTAAATTCTAATCATCCAAAAATATTCCAAACGAGGTCGCGATCAACGAACCACGAAAAATCGAAGATAATTCGAATCGACCAGTTATCGATCTCCGGAAGAAGTGACAGTTAACGATAATGCAACAACTTCCTGCAGAGTTCCTCCAGAGTCTATATAGTTCCGTCGCCGTTTACCCAAACACAAACATACGCTCGAGCACAAACACGCGTGTACACACTCATTGTACAGCACATATACACACACACACACACACACACGCACACACACACACACGCACACGCACGCACGCACGCACGCACGCACGCACACGCATATATCCAGCAGCGGTTATATCGACGGCAAAATAAGGGATCGCCGTGGGAGGATGGTTACATGAGGGATGCTTCGTGAAGCCATAGACGTTCGACTGCTCTCCATCCATCCCGCCCTCGTCCGCCGCCCGACCAACCCCCTCGGCCGCCACCCTTCGATATTAAAAATTTCAATATCCTAGCCCCAGGGGTGGAAAACACATAATGTATTCAGGTGACGTCCCGGCCATTCTATCGGCGAGAAAAACGTACAGTTTTTCGTGGAATCGAATCCAACCTCCCTCCCCTCTCCCTGGCCATCCTTCATACCCATTGCTATTTCTCTCCTTTGGTCGAGCATGGAACTCGCAGGCATCGCCATCGCCCACGTTTTCGACCAATCCCTCCCCTCACCATTCTCCTCTCCCGCCAGACCGTCCTCCCTCTCGCCCACCACCACTTGGATTTACCACCCTCGAGGACGATGACGACAGAAGTTTTTTTTGTTCTTTGTAGGCCGCGTGCCACGTGCAACGTTCTTCTTCTTTTTTTTTTTCTTTTAGTTTCTCTTTCCTTCCTCGACGCACCGAATTGACAAGTTGCGTCGACCATTGACGAGGTGTTGGTGTTTGAATTTATGGCAAGATTCGTTTCGTTGGATTGTGTTTTCCAATGATTCAAATAATTTTATAATCGATGGTATATATTCACAACGACGCGTCGATTAACGCGAATATTGTATCTTAAAATATATTTACGTTCGAGAAATTTTAACTTTATTTTCCTCAAACGATAAAGAATCTGATACCGGATAATATTATCCCCATCTTAAATTTCATTCGATCGTTTCCATTAATTCTAAATCTGTTTTTTACTTATTGGACAACATTCTTGACGAATTATCAACTTTCTTTTACGAGACACTCTGTTGAATCGCCATCAGAATGGCGTCCAGTAGCGCGTACAATTTCTCTAAAAAAATCCTATCACCTACTACGGATCACCATCGACATCCAGAGATCGATAAAATCGATGAAAAGCAAGTTAGCCGAAATCAAGTGGGAGACAGTGGGTTGGTACAGCGCGAAATGGTTTCACGAGACCGCGATTCTAAACAACTTAACGATAAAATTTATAGTTCGAAAGCACGCCTACCCTCAGCCCTCGCGGGGTTTGGTCGTAAAGGGGGTTCGAGGAGGGTTAAGGGGAGGGAGGAAGGAAAAGGGTGGCTGGAAGAGACCTCAGCCGTACATAGGAGGTCTCTCGTACAGGACTTTTACCCTGCAGAGTTGCGTCGTAATTTATGGATGCCGTTCCCTTATCCGCAGGATACGAACTCCACTCTCCCCACACGTTTGCTGTCCTTCTATCGATCCTATATACCGCGACGAAACGGGTGTCCACGAAGTATCTCGACCTCCACGTCCACCGATCCTTGTGGACGATTCTTCGCGTGGGGTTAAGTCTCGAGGAAAGCGAAAGTTAATTGAGCAGCGAGCAACCGACAGGGATTTGTAATTCAGATTTTTCACATCGCTTTCTCCTCCGTACTTTCACGTCTCTCTCTCTCTCTCTCTCTCTCTTCTTCCACTCCTTCGTTCTCCAACGCAGTCCCTCCGCTCCTTTTTCCTCGCTGGATTTATGGAGAGAGTTTCATCGGCGCGGCAACTTTTCAGAAACTTTTCCCGTGTCTCGAGCGAAGAGTCGAAGAGATAGTTGTACTACGAGAGTTTCCTACGTCGCTAAGATAATTGGTCGGAAAATTGTTTCTGATCGAAGGAAAAAGAAGAAGAAGAAGAAGAAAAAAAAAGGAAATCCAACGATTCTCTCTTCATCATCCTCCCTTCCTCACCCTCCATTTCATTCCCAACAACACGCTTCCCGTATTATCGAGCCACCCGTTACACGTCGAAACACACCCTATACAGAAATGGTTGGTTTGCCAGCACGCGCGCGCTCGCGTCTCTCCCCTGCTACGTGTTCGTTCGCACGTGTGCGGTGCCCGTGTACGTGTGTTAGTCCACCCTCGAGGGAGCGTGGTGTGGGATGTGGAGGACGATAGGGAGAGGAGGGAGGCCGAGATAGAACAGAGCGGAACAGAGATACGACGACGGGGTCCCCTCGGTTCGACGGACGTGGCCCAAGTTGGAGGGAGGGTGCGAGAAGGACGCGTATACGCAGGGAGACAAACATAAGGGAGGTTGGTTGGGCGCGAGCGAGAGGGCAGGAATACGTGGAGGCCCGTCTTATATTGATTTCTGTCCACGCCACCACCCCCGCCGTTCCCTCCGCAACCCCCTGCGAGCCACCCCACGGAGCAGGAGGCGGCAGCGGCAGGCTGCAGGTGTGGGGAGGGAGTCGAAGCGAGAGGGAGCGCGAGAGATGGAAAGATGGAAGAGAAGAAGAAGAGGTGAAATGGATGGAGGGCAAGGGGACAGAAGGGGAGAGGGGAA